AGGGTCCCCGGATAAGCGCACGTGGAACAAGCTTTTCGAGGCGACAGATGGAGAGCGGATTTGTAGTACTTCACTAGAGTCTTGAATACGGGTCTCGGATAGACAACAAACGTCAACATTAAGACCTTCCAAAGACATAGCCAGCCCTATCTGATCTGCATTAGTGTGCGAACGTTGAAGGAAGCCAGCTTGAACGGCGTACGTGGTTTCAGAAAGACTGCCTCAGTATTCATAATCGGTGGAAGCATTCACTTTCAACCAGACAGTGACTGGAGATCGTTTAGATAGGACAGATTTTCCACCAAGAGCGAGCTGCTGCATAAGTTGAAGAGTAAGGTTACACAAATTGGGTATAAAAGGGGGTGAATTAGCGATATGGTAAGTAATAATAATAATAATAATAATAATAATAATAATAATAATAATAATAATAATAATAATAATAATAATAATAATAATAATAATAATAAAGGTAATAATAATAATAATGTTAATTGTCTTGCTTTTAGTATGACCAGGGATATCGTCAATAGAGTTCATAATTTCATTCATTTGTTTGTACTTTTCCTGAGTCCATTGAGACGCAGACAAATGCGCGCTCGTATTAAAGCGTGATCAGAGTCTAAACAAGTATTCCAATACGAGCGACAATCTTCTATTGAGCCTCTCCAACGATGACTGATGATAATATGGTCTATTGGAGTCCATCGTTGGTTTGGTGCAGGTGGTCGCCATGTTAGACGATGTTTCTCCTTATGCTTAAAATTAGTGCTTGCTAAAAATAAACGAATGTCTGGGCATAGTTGCAACAGACGATCACCATTATCGGTTCGCTGAGCCGGAATACTAAAACACTCACCTAAATGTCTTTCTGTTTGATTCAAGCTGCCTACCTGGGCATTAAAGTCACCCGCTACGACTACTATGTCTGAGCGCCTAGCTTTCTGAAGAAGCTCAGAGAGTTTTCTGTAAAAGTCATCTTTCACTTCATCATGGCTGCAGTCAGTGGGAGCGTAGGCAGAAACGATGAAAAGGCAACGACGTGTGTCCCTATCCTTCCGAGTTCTTACGGATCCATTTGGCCGGACAGCACACAGGCGACTGTTAACGGGGATCCATTCTAGTAGTGCCTGTTCTGCCCTTGTACTTAGTGCTAAGCCTACACCTGCAAGTCCATGGGAACTAGCCAACGGGTCGCCAGATACATGGAGGGTGTATTTCGTTGGCTGTCCATTTTGGCGAGGTGAGGTCAAGTGAATGACCACACTAGGATCCTGTATGCGTGTTTCCAAGACACAGCATACATCAATGGTACGAGATTCTAGGGTTTTAGCTAAGGAGGCCTGTTGACCGATTTGGCATAGGGTACGTACGTTGAAGGCTCCAATGTGTAGTTTGGAGCGAGGTTTTAGTAGACCTGGGACAGAGTTTCGCGCACTAGAATCGTTGGCCATGGTGACACTTGAGGAGGAAACCGAAAGAGGAAGTTTAGTGTTGAAAGTTAAGGTAGAAGGAATAGTAGGAATTGAAGGAGATTGATCATGAATACAGCGGTCTTGAGTGCTGTTAGAGGTACGAGGGCAGTTATCACTTTCCGTTTCCCACACCGTGGAAGGATTCTTCTAGGGGTACATTGACCACCACGCACAATCGGTAGCATTTAATAGTCGCATATCCTGACATAAAACCAATTATTTAGTCACGTGCTTAGTATCACAGAGCAAATTAATTGGTCGTAACTGGTCAACATAAACTTTATTAGATTATTTGTCTCGAAACTACATCTACATTTCCAAAGTTAACGTACAATAATATGGAAATTTGGACTTTAACTGGAATTTGTCTAAAATTCAGGTCCCAAGTTTACTAAGCTGTCGTAGAAGTTGTAAGTTTTCTATGTGTTCTTATGTTCTGATAAACATCTTTGTTTTCATGCGATATTTAAATAATATGGGGAAATATGCAGCCTGTTTTTGGGCTATACTGTAGAAATAGTTTACGGCAGACACTAGTGTTCCCATGTTTACCCAAAATTCAAATAAGCCAGAAAGTTTCTGACAAATACATATAAGATAACTAGTCATAGGTCATTCAGTCGATTGACTAAACAAAGTTACGAATTCTGCACTACAGTCAGTCAGTCAGTCACAACGTAGAACTTCGTACGTACGTACATCAGTTCGAGTTGCCATACCACATTAGCACAGAGATGCAGTTGTCGATTCAATTCCCATAGTGGTAGAAGTAGTAGGAGTATAATCAGAAATCCAAAAGATTAGGGTTTGAAGAAATTATCGAAGGAGTATAGTACAGTGAAATAAATTTGGAAAGAGAAAAAGGATAGGGACATGAAGAATTCAGAAGATTAGAATTTGGTAGAACACAAAGAGTGGATGCACCTTCGCCATTGCAAACGATTTTGAGCCATGTCATTCAAGGTCTCTAACCATCGGTTGCTATCATCTCGCGAATCCCAACCAGGTAGTCTACACCTACCAACATGGCCCAGTCCACTTGTCAGTGACTTCATTGATTTGTGCCACGTTTTGGTCTGGCCACCCCTAGCTTTCTTCCAACCTACTCCTACACCATGAAACATTGCACGTCGGGGCAGTCGGTGGTCGGGCATACGTAACACATGTCCTAGCCATCTCAACTGATGAAGTTTCACTACTTCATCAATCGATTTGCCATCCCTACCTAGTACTCGTTTCCTAACAACTGCATTACTTACCCGGTGGTCCCAGGATATACGAGCAATGCTTCGAAGACACCTATGATCGAACACTAGTAGTCTACGAATATCCTCTACTCTTATTGGCCATGTTTCACTGCCATAAAGTAGGACGGAGCGAACTGCTGCACAGTAAACCCGTCCTTTGGTTGCTAGACGGATATCTCGCCTACTCCATAAATGACGCAAGTTGGCGAAAGCTAGACGAGCCTTCTGTATCCGTGCTGAGATTTCGTCACATACCAGACCACAAGGGCTGATGAGACTCCCAAGATAAGTGAAGTGGTCTACACGCTCAACTACTTCACTCCCTATCAATAGTTCAGGTGTCGCTGCAACCCAATCCTGAAGTAACATTTTGCACTTCGAGGGAGAGAATCGCATTCCGAACATGCCTGCATAGTTGCTTATAGTAGTCAGAAGACTCTGCATGTTGTCAGCGTCTTCACCGAGTAAAACTATGTCGTCGGCGTATTCTAAGTCAACAAGTGAGCCTCCTGGTAAAAGTTCAACTCCTGGAGGTTTAGCTGATGAAAGTGCTATCTCTAAAAGTATGTCAATGACAAAGTTAAACAAGAATGGGGAGAGTGGACAGCCCTGACGAACGCCACTTGTGGTAATCAGTTCTGATGACAGTTCGCCATAGGCTCTAACTCGATCAGTTGTGTTCGAGTAGAGAGCCTTTATGAGGTTAATGTACTTCTTTGGTACTCCTTTCACTGACAAACATTGCCATAGAACCTCACGATCAACGGAGTCAAATGCCGCCTTAAGGTCAAGAAATACTACTATTGTGGGACGTTTGAATTTGTGTCTATGTTCTAGAACCTGAAGTAGGGTGAATATCTGGTCTATGCAACCACGTCCAGGTCGAAAACCAGCTTGGTTTTCTCTAGTCTGCTCTTCACGAGCTTTGGTTAGGCGACCTAGTATTATTGAAGCTAATATTTTAGACACTATATTAGTCAAACTGATCCCTCTGTGATTGTCACAAGAGGACTTTTGTCCTTTCTTATAGACTGGCACAATCAGTGATTGGGACCAGTCAGATGGAATTACGTCCAGTTCCCAGATTCTACCTAAGACCTCAGTCAATCTCACTGCTAGTACTGGACCACCATCCTTAAAAATCTCAGGGGTCAACCTGTCAGGGCCTGCTGCTCTCCCTCGCTTCAGATTTCCTATAGCTTTTTCAACCTCACAGAGGGTTGGAGGACTTACATCAATTTGCCATTCAGGACGACTGGGGATCGTGGGTAATTGAAGTGTGGCTGAAGGCCAGTTGAACTGATCCCTAAAGTGTTCTGCCCATCGATCCAATCTCCTGGATTGAGAATGAATAATATGCCCATCTTTATCTGAGATGGTTTCACTGATATTCGGGTTCCTAATACCGGTTTCTTTAACGAGTCTGAATAGCTGCCTACTGTTACCTATTGCCGCTGCCTTTTCCATCTCTCTTGCTTTCGCTACCCACCACTGTTCACGATCATTACGTAGGCTTCTTATAAGCCTGCGCTTAAGCTGACTCCGCACTTCGTTATGCTCAGAGCCAGGTGGGATGAGTTTACGAGCATCTATCAGTGCGGTAGATGCTGCCGAGATCCAGTGTTTCTCCCTAACGTTATGGTTTACCTTACTAGCGGATATCACTGCTATTTCCACAGCTTTTCGGATGTCATTCCACGCTGCCTCGGGGTGGACACAACTTACATGGCTGCCTAACTGTTTTTCTAGTTGTTCCTGAAATTCTGCACTACTTTGCGAAACTATTTGATTTAACAATTTCAATAAGTATAACTATTTAATTATTTATTTATTTAAACACATATATATTGGTACTAATATATATATATATATATATATATATATATATATATGTATATATATATATATTGGTAACTAATATACACTTCTATGAATTTGGTGTTCATCTTGTTGTGCTAATGAGGTATGGCAACTTGGACAGATGCATATATGTGCCTGGTCCTGCGCTTGTAGCTGACTGACTGAATGAACTAAACGCCATAAACAGAAACATGGGACTTCAGGACCAACCGTCCCATAAAAGCTAAAAAGAACACTTATTTAATAGTTTGAGGAGTAACTCACTGGATATCTTATTAACAATATATGTCAAGCTGATAATGGTCTATTTTTAATTAGTTTGTTAAAAATTCAGAAACTGTTTAAATTGTGTCTGGAAAATAAAGCGAAACAGAGTAGCAATTTGATACAAAAGGTAATAGCTAGCTCAGACACATACCATATGGCTTTTCACGATTACGCAAAACGTCCTTGTAGAGCTTGCGGTAATGCTCAAGTTTACGCTGAGTGCGAGGGTCCACCATAGTTGCATCCCTCAAACAAAAAATATTTGACTTTATTTCATCTAAACCATGTAAAGTCAACTGTCTATTCGAGCGCCACTTCTTTAGCCTAAGCATTGCTGTTAAGAAATTACGGCGACGGTGTCGGGCAACTGTCTTATCAGTATGTTGACGACAATGTGCGAAAAATGGATCCGCTGAACTCTAAAAGATAAAAAATAAGACTATAATAATCAACGGAATATTATTTACGTAGCATAAAAAATAAAATCACTAGACATTTTTTAATTCGAAATGTAGACAACCAACTTGATTGGGAATCAATTTACCGGTCACCTCGTTTCCTATTACAGTGAAAACATAACTACCAAAATATCATCTGTTACCGATGGTCATATAAATTAAGTTGTTCTAAAAAAACAAAACAAAGGCTTTAGGTTTTGTACTTGACTATTCAGTTGCAAAAACATAATGGATCGCGATTAGTGTGAAGAGAGTAAGACGGTTCCAGGATTAAAGCAGTGGCTTTGAGTGACATTAGTCAGTCACTCAGTCACAACGTAAAACTTCTTACGTACGTACATCAGTTCGATTTGCCATACCACATTAGCACAGAGATGCAGTTGTCGATTCGAATCCCATAGTGGTAGAAGTAGTAGGAGTATAATCAGAAATCCAAAAGATTAGGGTTTGAAGAAATTATTGAAGGAGTATAATCCAGCGAAATAAATTTGAAAGCAGAAAAAGATAAAAACATGAGGAATTCAGAAGATTAGAATTTGGTAGAACACAAAGAGTGGATGCATCTTCGCCATTGCAAACGATCTTGAGCCATATCATTCAAGGTCTCTAACCATCAGTTGTTATCATCTCGCGGATCCCAACCAGGTAGTCTACACCTACCAACATGGCTCAGTCCACTTATCAATGACTTCATGGATTTGTGACACGTTCTGGTCTGATCGCCCCTAGCTTTTTCCCACCCTATTCCTACACCATAAAACATCGCACGTCGGTGGTTGGGCATACGTAACAAGTGTCCCAGCCATCTCCACTGATGAAGTCTCCCTACCTCATCAATCGATTTACCATTCTGACCTAGTACCTGTTTCCTAACAACTGCATTACTTACTCGGTGGTCTCAGGATATACGAGCAATGCTTCGGAGACACCTATGATCGAACACTAGTAGCCTTCGAATATTCTCTACTCTTATTGGCCATGTTTCACTGCCATAAAGTAGGACGGAGCGAACTGCTGCACAGTAAACCCGTCCTTTGGTTGCTAGACGGATATCTCGCCTACGCCATAAATGACGCAAGTTGGCGAAAGCTAGACGAGCCTTCTGTATCCGTGCTGAGATTTCGTCACATACCAGACCACAAGGGCTGATGAGACTCCCAAGATAAGTGAAGTGGTCTACACGCTCAACTACTTCACTCCCTATCATTAGTTCAGGTGTCGCTGCAACCCAATCCTGAAGTAACATTTTGCACTTCGAGGGAGAGAATCGCATCCCGAACATGCCTGCGTAGTTGCTATTGGTAGTCAGAAGACTGCATTTTGTCAGCGTCTTCATTAAATAGAACTATGTCATCGGCGTATTCTAAGTCAGCAAGTGAGTCTCCCGGTAAAAGTTAAACTCCTGGAGATTCAGATTATGAAAGTGTTACTCTTAAAAGCATGTCAACAACAAAGCTAAACAAGAATGGGGAGAGTGGACAGCTTTGACGAACACCACTTCAGGTAATCAATTCTGATAACAGTTCGTCATAGGATCTAACTCGATCAGTTGTGTTCGAGTAGAGAGCCTTTATGAGGTTAATGTACTTCTTTGGTACTCCTTTCACTGACAAACACTGCCATAGAACCTCACGATCAACGGAGTCAAATGACGCCTTAAGGTCGGGGAATACTACTATAGTGGGATGTCTGAATGTGTCTATGTTCTAGGACCTGACGCAGAGTGAATATCTGGTCTATGCAACCACGTCCAGGTCGAAAACCAGCCTGGTTTTCTCTAGTCTGCTCTTCATGAACTTTGGTTAGGCGACCTAGTATTATTGAAGCTAATATTTTAGACACTATATTAGTCAAACTGATCCCTCTGTGATTGTCACGAGAGAACTTTTGTCTTTTCTTATAGACTGGCACAATCAGTGATTGGGACCAGTCAGATGGAATTACGTCCAGTTCCCAGATTCTATCCAAGACCTCAGTCAATTTAGCTACTAGTACTGGACCACCATCCTTAAAAATCTCAGGGGTAAACGTGACAGGGCCCGCTGCTCTCCTTCGCTTCAGATTTCCTATAGCTTTTTCAACCTCGTACTAGCAGATATCACAGCTGTTTCCACAGCTTTACGGATGCCATTCCACGCTGCCTTGGGGTGGGCACAACTTACATGGCTGCCTAAGTGTTTTTCTAGTTGGTCCTGAAATATATTCTTAGCTTGCCTTTCATTAAGAAGAACCCTAAGAGGTTTCCCTGCAGTGTCTTTCCTACGACCAGTAAGACGCAGACGCACTAGAGCATGACCCAAATCTAAGCATGTGCTTCAGAATGAGCGACAGTCTTTTATCGAGCCCCTCGGTGGCTAATAGCGATGTGATCTATTTGGGTCCAACGTTGGGAAGAATTCGGGGGTCGCCATGTCAAAAGATGTTTTTCTTTGTGTTTAAAGTTAGTATTTGCGAGAAACAGGAAGTTGTCTGGGCATAGTTGCAATAGACGGTCGCCATTATCTGTTCTTTTAGCCACGACATCATAAGATCCACCCAGGTGTCTTTCCCTTTCACTTAGTTTACCTACTTGAGCATTAAAGTCACCTGCTACTATTACTACATCAGAACGCCTAGCTTCTCGGAGAAGGTCAGAAAGTTTCCTGTAAAACTCATCTTTTATATCATCTGAGCTGCAGTCAGTGGGAGAGTAGGCAGAAACGAGTTTCCCTATCTTTCCGAGTCCTTACTGATCCGTTTAGTCGGACAGCGCATAGACGACTGTCTACTGGGATCCAATCTAGAAGAGCTAGTTCTGCCCTAGGACTTAATGCTATACCTACTCCGGCGAAGCCACGGGAAGCAACATCAGGGCTTCCAGATACACGAAGCGTGTGTCGAGGTGTTTCTTTATTATGACATGGTGAGGTCAAATGAATGACACTACTCGGATCTTGTATGCGCGTTTCAGAGACGCAGCACACATCGATGGTGCGAGATTCTAAAGTCCTAACTAAGGTGGCCTGTTGTCCTATTTAGCATAATGTTTGGACGTTAAAAAAATCCTACATGCAGTTTGGAGCGTGGTTTCAGGAGACCAGGAATAACGTTCCGTGTACTCGAATCCCTTGCCCTAGTGGTACGAGGTGATAAAAGGATGTGAGAAGGGTTAGTCGTGGAGATAAGAGAGTTATTAGGAGGTGCAGGAGGGATTTGAATGTGAACAACTTGGTCTCGTGTGCTTAGTTTGAAAGAAACGTATTTATTACATTGATAGCACGAAGTTTAGTGTAGCAAAGAACAAAAATTTTACTGTACAGAGGTATTATACTGTGAAGGAGAGGAAGAGAAAAACATGCTCACTTTATTATTAGTCTGAAATCTTATTTTACACTTTAAATAGTCTGTGTTAGCTTACAGATGAAAGATCTAATTGAATAGCGTTAGCTACTTAAATCTAATCACTTAGCACACTTGGACTTTTCGAAGCATTCCAAAACAAAAATGGCACACAGTAACGTGGACCGAAAATTTCATTTTTTAGGATCATTTTATAAAATAACCTAATGCATATAGACTTACCTCTTCGACAGTGGGCTCTGACAACAAACCATGCTTTTGAGCACTGTAAGCTAAATGAAAGTATACAAGCTAGCTTACCAAGTTACGTGGAAAAAAGTGCGGCATAAACCAGCATCACAAGATATGCAAACACCAGTCCAAGCAAAAAACCGATCTTCGCAGAGAGAGCATTCGTGTAAAGACCACTGCCTTTGTGGCAACTCAGTAAGAGTCACCTATGAATGACTGATTAGCCAAGAGTACTCACATCCATTAAATTATCTGGGTCGTTGAACGCAACTCCTGGTGTATATAGTGCGCATAATAAGTGAACCCAGCGATTGTTATCTGTTTTTTTAAATACGCCATCTAACACTGGACACAACTCACAAACCTAACGGATATAAATTAACACAATCTAACTAACCGGGGAAGTGAGCCCTGCAAGACATGGTTCACAGAACCACGCATCTGTACTTGAGGAGCTAGCACCACTGGACAAAAATATTGAGTCGACCAGCTTATAACAGTCTGTCTAAATTATTACCATAAATATGGTATTACCCTCATGAACGACAATACCACAACCATCGCATTCGATCAGCTCATCACGAGGATCAGTATTATCTCCTAAACACAGCATACAAATCATGATATCAATATCTTTTATTTTCGCATTATCACTAGCAGTCAAATTTTGATCACCATCTGGCCCTGAAGTATTAAAGGGTATTTCAGAACATGATCCCATTCAATAGGTTACCAGTACAAAAGGACTCCGGTGCCCATGTGTCTTTATCATTTTTTACGGAATTAGGTGAATTCCTTTCAGATCTAGACACGGAAATCTGACTAGTACCAGAAACTGTAGAAACGTTGGATAAGTTAACTGAAGAGTCGTCTGGACTGGAATCCTCTTCATCAGTACAACCTGAGTGGGTCTCCTCTAAAATAGCTTAGTCAAGAAGTAGATAAACAGACCATCATCATCTTCCTCATCCCTATCCTCGCAAACGTACTCGCTATCGCTGTCATCGTCCAGCTCATCGAGCAAAGCCAAGTGGTCTGTATTCACAGGTTTTATCTGCCTCTTCGATGGATCACGACGAGCTGGAGAATATCTAACTAAAAAGGTGAATACCTACCTATTGCAGTGAATAGGGTATCCGATGTCATTACAGGACTTGCATGAAAGGTCAATACTGATTTCGGCGTTTTTTATGTTTTTTTGAAAGTATTCAGAAAGTACGTAAAGAAAAACAGCGTTGACTTAGACGGTGCGGTAAAAAAGTCAAAGCCTTTCAAAAACGCCCGCCGTTTCGTTATAACGACCTAGAGCCGGTCATTCCGTATTTGAGTTGTTGCGGCTCTGTAGGGTGTCCGTTGAATTGCACGAATAACATGTTTTTTCATAATTGAGTCGTGTTTTTCTGCATTTAATTCACAAGATATAACTATTTTTGGAAATTATTAAGTGCTGTTTGTTGTGATTTATGTTCAAAAGACATTCCAGTGGACTTAAGCGAGACGTTTCAACGCATAATACTGAACAGGCGTTCTAGAAGCTGGATTGAATTTGATGCTGTATTAAAGGAGTACCAAAAAGTATGAAAGAATTAACTATTCACACATAATAATGAAACCTCGCGCGCTATTTAAAAAGGACAGTGGTATTTTTCCTCGTTGAGTAAATTCTATTGTTTTGATCGTTATTAACGTATCAAGACTACTGTTTTTATACTTTGATTGAATTTCTTTCAGTTAAAGTATTCTATTAGAGTATCATCTTTGGTATCCCAAATAGTTTTATCGTCGGTACTCCAGAGTACCTTTGTTTTTCCATTGTGTCTGTTCGCGCTATTCGAACGGGAAGTTTAGTCCTAACGTGATTTACATTTCTCAAACTTTTGCTGTGTTCTTACGCAACAAAAGTATCATTTCCAATCCAAAGAATCTATTCTGAGCTATACGTTCGGTAGATTACTTCTTTTTTGTGTTTCACTCAAATTAATAGTTAACTGTGGTTTTGCCTCAGCTCACTATCGGTTTTTTTTTATAGTTTTCACGTAAAGGCTAGCTTTAGCTTATCGTTAACTGTTTTTATACATTTTTGATAGTTTTTGTTTACTGTGTGTTTTTTTAACGGTCCTAAATTTACTGCTTATATTTTTAAGACAGTCTAAATCACTAGCCATGAAAAATTCATGCAAGAGACCTGGTTGCCGTTTTGCCGTTACATCTGGCATGCAATGTGACAACTGTAAAGGTTGGTTCCATGAAGCATGTACAGATCTAACAGCAGCAGCTTATAGCAGACTCAGCAAGTCTGATCGTAAGTGGGTATGTGTTACCTGCAACACCGATACGGTAGTTATGTTGGGCACTATCATTACTTTACTGACAGGTCTGAGAGATAAGTTGTCAAAGAATTCGGTTAATGATATCATCATGACGGGTAACAAAGCTGCAACGCATAGGGCAAATAAGAAAAAGGATACTGACAGGTCGGTTATCGACGGTGCTGTTAACAGCACGAGTGATGATGTGTTGAAACTCAGCACCATCTTAACATCGACTGTCATCGACTCCCTCAGTAAACTTGGGTCCTCCGGGGAACGGTCCTTGAATGAGACAGTGGTTCCTAAAAATCCTGTAGGTGGATGGACTCACGTTAACAGGAGTAATAAAGCCCAAGCGTCCCCTCCGAAACTGAACGTCCCAAGTATCGTGCGTAAATCAATTGATGCTTTGGCCGCACAGTCTACACCCAAGACTGTCCGCCCGGTCATCACTGAGCCCAGGAATCGAAATCGCGCCTCGACATCCAAACAACAAGATACCAAACCTAGACGCCCTGGTAAACCTGGGAAATCAATTGCGGTTCGTGACGACTCTGTCATAATCATGAACCTTATTGACAACCCCGACCTTCCTCTCAGTTTGCAGGACAAAAACGATAGGATGCTCTGGGGAGAATTAATCAAGAGGCTTGAACTCCCTAGATTAGAGCCTTTGACCGTCACACGGCTCACTCGGGGGAAGGACTCTAACCACCTAAACCACCCGAGGCTGCTTCGTGTTACACTTAAGAATGCCTCCGACGTAGAGGACGTCCTACTAGCCAGTCACTTACTGAGGTCCGATGGGAACGTAAGAATACTGCCCGACATACCGTATTCTGAACGAAATCTCATCCGGAACATCCCAAAGGAATCTCGCGAGGCGTTCTTCCGTGGACGAAATATCATTGTGCAAGGTGTGCCGGAAAATATGGACCCAGCTCAAGCAAACTCTGATATTCGAGAATGGAAATTCATCAAGCATTCCTTAAAACTCAAGAACATATTGACCCAACAGGTAATGAGACTGGCCAAGAGAGACGGAGATTCTAGGCCCCGGCTGCTGAAGATAACCTTCCCCTCCTCCCACATGGCGGCTGCAACTCTGGAAGCATTTCGTGCCAATAGACGTCGGTTGCCAACTGGCATCCATATGCATCCGGATAGGCCCCACGACAGCAGGATCAAGCACAAACGAAAGCTGGAGCTGACAATTCCACTCGTGGACTGTCTTGATCATAAAAAAAACGTGTAAAGGACAGGGACTACCAACTCGGTAAACATCGTATAGGTAGACTACCTGTCCACTCACACACGGCTCATATAGACAAACAAGAAGAGGCTCACGCGTTCCAAATTGAAAGCATAAACTGCCTATACACGAACGCCGCGAGCTTGCCAAACAAAATGGATGAGCTACGTGAACTTAGCAACGCTAATGATGCCCATCTGATAGGAATATCCGAAACTTGGATAACGTCTCAGTTTACGGACCAAGAGTTAGCAATAACTGGGATGTCTTTATTTCGCAACGACAGAAAAACAGGAATGGGGGGTGGGGTAGCACTATACGTACGGTCATGCCTGGATGCGCACCAACTTCACAACCAAGAGTTTCACAATCTTGACGAGTCAGTATGGTGCTCAGTAAGGTTATCTACCACCTCGAGGTGCCTAGTTGGGGTCGTTTACAGGAAGCCCACTGCCGACATCGAATATGACAAACGTCTGCTGGAAGGATTAACTCGCTCTACGCGTCTTGGATTCTCTCATATCCTGATTCTAGGGGATTTCAATCTCCCTAGAATCAACTTCGTGGAACATACATACATTGGTGGTGCCAACTCTACTGAAGCTCTGTTCTTCAACCTTATCGGCGACCTGGGATTATTTGAAAATGTAAAGTCGGCAACCCGTTGGAGAAACAGTCAGACGCCGTCACGCTTAGACTGGGTATTCACAAACGAAGAATTCCTAGTTGACGACCTCTCAATCCTGGCTCCCCTGGGCAAAAGTGATCACGCCGTCTTATCATACAGCTTTATCAGCAAGACGGAGCTACGATATCCTACTAGCAACAAGCGCTGGAACTTCAAACGGTTGAACGTGTTAGCTTTACAGGACTATCTTCAACAGGTGGATTGGGATGTTCGCCCTGAAATTGAAGTGGATGCTCATTGGGATTTTTTACTGCACACGATTTTATGTGCTACTGAGCATTCAGTTCCTAAAATGGTCCTAAAAAGCTACAAGCAACCTGCAATCATCAAGAACCGCACTCGTCGTTTGTTAAGCCGCAAAAGGCATTGTTGGGCTAAATATAAACGAACGGATAACTACGGCGCGTACAGGCAATACAAACATATAAGGAACACATGCACAAAGGCAATAAGAGAAGACAGGCTGCAGTTCCAGACCAAGCTTATCGATAGATTCGTCTCCAATCCGAAAAGCTTGTTCAGTTATGCAGCTTCTCTTCGACAAGGCAAAACTGGAGTTTCCCAACTGCTTGGTCCTAATGGCCCGACCAACAACGACAGTGATGCCGCTAACCTTTTGGCTGAACATTACTCCCGGACATTCCAACTGACCCACATCAACCATACTGACGAAAGCTTCACCTGCACCTGTACAGGACTTTCCGAAGTGGACCTGAGTGCTGACTTGGTGCTCCGTAAACTGCAGAACCTAAAGAAAGACACTTCTCCTGGTCCGGACATGGTTCATTCCGCCGTATTGAGGGAAGCAGCTTCAATCCTGGCGACACCACTTAGCGTGATGTTTGCACACTCGCTAAGCAGAGGCAAACTACCGGAAATATGGAAGCTGGCCCACATCACACCAATTTTCAAAGGAGGTCGACGCAGTGAACCCTCAAGCTACCGACCACTGGCCCTTCTCTCCATACCTTCAAAAATTATGGAATCCCTAGTATTCGACGGCATACTAAAACACTTATCATCCTCAAAGTTCTTCTCGCCTCAACAGCATGGTTTCAGAAAAGGTCATTCTTGTATGACCAACCTGCTGACTGCGGTGGATAGATGGACAACCGTCCTTGATCGCAAGGGGAAGGTTGACGTCATTTACCTGGACTTCTCAAAAGCTTTTGATAGGGTCAACCATGCATGTCTTATCAAGAAGCTTGGACGATTGGGTATAAAACCCCCTTTAATTGACTGGATCACTTCATACCTAGAAAACCGACACTTTAGGGTCAGGGTTAACTTCACTCTCTCTCAGGCTATGGAATGTCCTAGTGGGGTCCCCCAGGGTTCAATACTAGGACCTCTTCTCTTCTTGATTTATATTAACGATCTTCCTCAACAAGTTTCATCTGATTTATTGCTTTTTGCTGATGATGTGAAACTTTGGAGAGAGATACGTACTCACAATGATATACTAGTTCTGCAGGAGGATCTGACTCGACTTCAAAGTTGGGCAGACGACAACGGACTTACCTTCAACACTTCAAAGTGTAAGGTAGTCCATCTGAGACATGTTGCAGACTATAGTTATAACTTAGGTAACTCCCCTCTAGAAGTTTCCCAAGTTGAAAAAGATTTAGGAGTGTTGGTACCCTACGACCTGAAATCATACGCGAACTGTGACAAAAACGCCTCTCAAGCAAACCTTGCACTGGTAACATTGAAGCGCATTTTTGGCCAGTTTGACGGTAGAACCTTCCACATAATCTTCAACAGTTTTATTCGTCCCCACTTAGAGTACGGAAACATAGTATTTCCTCCCTCCCTCCAAAAGGATAAGGTCACTCTGGAACGTATACAACGTCGAGCCACGAAATCAGTTCGGGGTCTCAAATTCAAACCTTATGAA